GGTGGCTGGCCTAAGCCCAAAAGGGTCAAGGCCAGAAAACAGAGGGGCAACAAGCATCACCTGGCCTCCAGGAAAGCAGCACTGTCCTTTCTGGGCACTACAGAAGTGAGAAACAGAAGCTTTAAGGTTGCTGCCAAATCCTCCATGATATTCACTTCTTTAGTACAAGCCCTAACTAGGCACATTTGGGGGACGAGCAACTCACAGTGGGCTACTCCATGAAACAGGGTCTGCAGAGTCAAACAGGATGTTATAGATGAGGCTATCAAAGGTGAATTCAGCTTAAAATAGATATAACTAGAAACAGGATGGGACGCACGGTTCGCTTCCTCTTGGAGCAAGAGGTGAGAAAATGAAGCTGTGAGGAGGTCTGTCTCCTGTTTTATGGGGTACTAAGGGGGAAAATGTGAGGGAAACTTCTGTAGCTATGGTGATCTCTACACTCAAAATCCTAATTCTGGCAGAACTCTAGCACTCCATGAAGTACTGCATCACACAGTATTCATTTGATCTAAGCCCTCTAAACTTGCACAGATGGAGGCGGGGGGACCCGAAAGTTTTGAAATCCTAAAAGACAAACCAAAAAGTCATAGGAGCTATACCAACTGGCACTCCACTAATTCAACAAAGGATAATTGCAGAAATTGACTTCATAAACACCTCAAAGACCTCATAAATACCACACTAACATACTGTACTTCTCACCAAGGAGAGGGGTCACACAGCAAAATGGTTTGCAATGGAATGGATTAAAACTATAAAGGGTTATACAATTGTTAGAACTGTTTATTGTTTTCAGGAATAAGAAATTTTGAAGTGAAGTTAACATAGTAATCATGTAGCACAAACAAATTAGAACAAATACTTATTGAACTAAAACTATGTAAGGCATCAGACTAGATGTGATAATTCTTAGGGTTTAAGATTTATAGCTTTCTCTTAATCTATTATAAATTCTAGAGTGCCTGGCAAGCACAGGGCTCAATATATTTGTTCTCTCCCTCCCTCTCTCACCCTAGCTACCACAGCTACTAAGTGTTTGAGCCACAATCCAATCCAAATATTGGTTATACTATGGAAATGCCCCTGCACACACATTCTATTTATGGTAGTATCTTATTTAACTGCACAATTTAACCTGGCTGCTTAATCCATTATTTTAATGTGTCTCCCAGTAAAATCAAATTCATTTCTAAAGTAGCTCACCTTTCAGTAACCACAAAAAAACTGATTAACATTTCTGACTTGAAAATAGGTGTTTTTCAACACATACTTCTACTAGAAATTTTGCAATATATATTCTTTTAATTTATAGACTATTACAAGCTGAAAGACAATTAAAAATCTATTCCTGGCCGGGTGCAGTGACTCACACCTGTAATTCCAGCACTTTGGGAGGTGAGGCGGGTGGATCACGAGGTCAAAAGATAGGGACCATCCTGGCCAACATGGTGAAACCCCGTCTCTACTAAAAATACAAAAATTGGCCGGAGGTGGTGGTGGATGCCTGTAATACCATCTACTTGGGAGGCTGAGGCAGGAGAATCACTTGAACCGGGGAGGTAGAGGTTGCAGTGAGCTGAGATCGCACCATTGCACACCAGCCTGGGCAACAGAGCGAGACTCCATCTCAAAATAATAATAATAATAATAAAAATAATCTATTCCTTATAAGCAGGGCATAGTGGTGCACTTCTGTAGTCCCAACTACTTGGGAGGATGAGGCAAGAGAATCACTTCAGCCCAGGAATTCAAGTCCAGCCTGGGCAACATAGCAAGATCCCGTTTCTTAAAAACATAAAAATCTATTCCTTAGGATATTACATGCCTAAGCATGTAAATGACTCCTTCAGTACACTGAGTTCAAAGATATTAGGTATCTTTTCATTTTTTTAATTTTCCCTATTTTCTCCCAAATAACAAAGGAAGGTGATACATGTGGTAAATAAATATATATATATATATATCCATAAATGAAACAGATGAGTGAAGAACAGATGAGTAGACCAGATCTGCATTTACGAGGCAATGACCTTCAAAACGGGCAGGGAGCTGTTAACAATGTTCTTCACAGGGGAGCAATTATACTACAAACCTCCTATGTATACTTTCATTTCTCATGGTCTACAAATACATTTGCATATCAGAAAGAGTGAAAGAATAGTCTGGTAACTGTGGCAACCCTCACTGAAAACATACAAGGCATTTTCATTACCTTAATAATTACATCCTAAATGCCAGATCAGAATAAATGCTGCATTATGAAAGGACAAATACTTTGATGGAATTTCCTACAACTGAAATTTACCAAATGTAACTATCATGACTCCAACCCAGTGATACATTTCTGATTCTGTAATACCCTAAGTAGTCTCTGATTATGCTGAGGCAGTAAAATCATTCTAAAATAGATACCTTATTTAAACAAAAATATGGCATACAACACTTTAAGGAAAATGAGTTCAAATTATCACCCTAAAAATTAAAATATACAGTGCTACAATGCCTAAAATGTTGGGAATATTGCTTAACCTAATAAGAAGCTCACAGATCCTTTCCATACTGATTTAAAAGATCCTGTGCCCAGTATTTAACAAACAGTATTTAACAAATAAGCACGTGCACACATACACACACACACACACACACTACAGAAATGCATGAGGAAAAGTTGATAAGAAAAGCTCAATTTCTAAATGTTCAAAAAAGCTACATGGAGAAAATATTATTTTCATATAAGATACTGTCTTTTTGCTACATTTCCTCACATGAGTAAAAACAAAAGCAATTTACAAAAGTGGTGCCAAAGAATGACAACATTACATATACTTTACAATCCCTGTTTTTTAGATTCCACGCAAAAACCACAATGCACAATCATTAACATGTCTAGACAGTGGACACTTACTACAGTGTGGCCATATTACACCACGCTTAATTTTTTAAGTGGCCTAGATATTTTATAAAATTAAATTGCAATAATGTAAAATGAGAGCAGTAGGAAAATAAGTACAACCATAGTAGGATATAGCAAGCACAAACCCAATAAGTCCTCTTTAACTCAAAAATATTCTTTTTCTAAATGGTAATAAAAACTATCCACAATATAATACCAATCAAACAACCTCAAAGGTTCCACTAACTGGGAAAAAAATAACTAGTTGCCTCATTGCAATACTTTAAAACCACAAGGTTAACAATCATTTCTAGCGAAATGGTGATGTGAATTGTGTTTTATTTGTATTCTACACCTTGGCAAAAGTTAGTGACCTGCCTCGGAAATTATTTCACATACCCCAAAAGTATTCTTAGGACTCATGAAGTATAAATCTCACACTGCCCTTGATATGCTATTGGATAAATGCTTTAAATTTTAAAGCAAAGGATAAAGACTTTTAAAAAGCTCTAGACAATATACTCAAATGGTGAAGATGTCAACTCAATGTATTCTCCTACCCCAGCAAAAGAAAAAAAACAAAAAAAAAATTGGACATGGCACAACGATACAATAGGAACAAAAAGTAGTATTCCACTCATTCAGCAAGGAAATAATACAGAGCATCTCTCTATCATATTCAACTACAAAAATCCTTTCACTTGATGGCTAGCATCTTTATGACTGCTTAGTCTGTATTTAAGTGGCCTTAAAAAGAGATTCTGTGCTCTTTCTCTACCCTCACGGATCTTTGACAACAGTCAGCACTTATACCCAGAGCTGGTTTCGAGGGGAGGGAGAAAAGGGAAAGTGAGGAGAAGGCTGAACTGAGCACGGAGTCAGCAGGGAGCAGCTGCTCTCATACACTACCCAGTGTCTTTCTCACACACCGCTATTTTCCGCTATTGAGCACTGTCAGCAAAAATAAATAAATAAGGAGGCGGGGGGGGGGCAAGGAGACACTGAGGGTAGGACCCAGGCCGACAGTTTTTGTCTGTCACATCTGAGCCAGAAGCCTCCTCTGTTTTCCTGCTGCAAAGGCAAAGGATCAGGTGAGACCCCTCCGAGTCCAGCTCAATTCGCTTCTCCACAAAGAGCAGCTTCCGGCGATGAGCGCAGGATCCTCCTGGCTGATGAACTGAACACCGGAGCATTGTCAATGTTTTCAATCTCTGACTTTTTCATAAGGGAGGAGAGAGGGCTGTGACTGCATTCCCGGGAAAGACTACTACTCCTGACGTGCACACAGCAGTAGTGAAGGAACATGAGCAAGAGGTTGTAAAAATCCCTTCAAAAATAACAGGTTCTGAAAGAAATGCTGTTCAGCATTACCGTATTGTTGGCGTTTTTCGTAAGTCGCCGATTCTTCCTGGCCACCGCCAAGCCCCAAATCGCTGGGACTTGTTGCTAAATCTTTACCTCACGTCCCCCAGAACCGCCCAACACAATAAGATTTGGGGGTCGAAAGGCAAGAGGGGGCCTAAATCTCTAAAGGCCAGAGGACTGGGCTTCCTTCAATAGGCCACTCCGCATGGGCTGCGCGTTCAGTTCTACCTTCTGAAAGCTCTGACTCACAAATGGGGTGAGGGGGGAGGAATTATGACATAAACCATTATCCTTCCAACCCAAGAGAGATAAGAAAAGCCAGCCATACGTCCTTGCCCGGCCAGAGAGCCAAAGCCTGAGCCCCCGACGGGGCGGCCGGGCTAGGAGCCTACAGCTCTACCCGCCTCCCTCCGGGCGCTCCGGAAAGGTGCACCCTACCCGGGCGGGCTCGAGGAACCAGGACGGGGCGCCCTCACCCAAGGAGAGCAGGGGAGGACTTGGGGGTGTGGGACGCGGAGACTAGCCCCGCGGCGGCGGTGACACACCGGGTGCCAGGGCTCCGGCAGGGGCTCCGGTGAAGGCGCCCTGCAGCACTAGGGTGGTCCGCCGCAACCAGGAACGGACAAAGCACGGCGCTGGGGCTGGGGCGACCCCCGGGCGGCGGCCGCCGCCGGTCAAGTTGACCGGACTTGGGGGACGAGGGGGTCCCGCGGGCGGGGCGGGGCGGCGCGGCGCTGACCTGGATGGTGCAGGTGTACTCGCTATCGTCCAGCAGCCGCACGGTGCAGCTGTACTCGCGCTCCAGGCTCCTGCTGCTGCCGCTCATCAACCTGCTCAGCATCTTCCCGCCCGCCCGCCCGGGAGCGACGCGGCGACGCTGCGGACCCTGGACCAGGCGTCCCTCAGCCCGGCAGCTCCGCGCCGACCCCGGGCACCTGCAACATCACCCCGGCCCCGTCGCTGCCGGTGCCTCCTGCTGGCCTCGTTCCTCCTCCTTATCCTCCTCCTTCCCTCAGCCGCCACCGCCTCCCCCCCAGCCCAGATCAAGCGCCGGGCTCTGTCTCCTCCGCGCCCGAGTGCCCGTGCCCAGCTCGCTGGGCGGGGCCTCAACCGGAGGGGGCCAATGGGGATCAGCGCGGCGGAACCGAGTGGCAGACCGAAAAGCCAATCGGAATAGAGTACTGGAATGATGGGCGGGGTAAAGAAGCAATCACAGAAAAGCAGTGGAACCTAGTCAAGCTGGAGCAGCCCTCTAGCGTCCCAAATGAGGGGCTCCTCTCCGCCCTGTGGTTCCTGTGGATGCTGTTTCCCCTCCCCCGGGCCCCCGGGCCAGGTGTGAGCACCCAACTGGATTGAGGTCTGCCGCTTGAGATACACTTGATCTGTGTTTCTGAAGCCAAGCCCCGCACCCTTCAACGCCGCGGGTCCCGCCCTCTTGGGAGCCGGAGCGAGGAGGCGGCGGGATGCTGGATCACAGTCGCTGCACCTGCAGAATGCGGGTACCTCTCGCTCCAGATCAGGCGACTGCCCCCGAACTGTGCTGTACCCTAAGTTGGCCGGTCTGGCCTCTGTGCTCCAGCCCTCTTATTTTGGGAAACAGGAGCTACTTAAATAAAAGCTAAAGGGACCTCAGAGGTTCTTAAGTACTCGGGTTTAATCCCCCAAAAAATCCTCCACTCTAACACCCTTTGCTTCCTTCTTTTTATTTCAGAAGACAAAAGGAGACCGCTCCTTCAGCTGGTAGGGAGCAGAGGAAGCAATGAATCTTCTTGCACTTTTAGAACTGGAAATTATGTCTTCAGACTTTCTCAACAGAACAACATAGTATGTCAGGAGGTGTACATCACAAAGAATTGTCTCCTTCTCTTTGTCACCCGAAATTTACAGACTTCAAGGTTTTTTACCAAAACTTCACTAAGAGACATTCTCCCTCAAAGATTTTTGATGGGAGGAAATGTTATAAAATAATTGTGTCGGCCGGCGCAGTGGCTCATGCCTGTAATCCCAGGACTTTGGGAGGCCGAAGTGGGCGGATCACCTGAGGTCAGGAGTTCAAAACCAGCCTTACCAACATGGTGAAACCCCGACTCTAGTAAAAACAAAAAAAAAATTAGCCGGGCGTGGTAGCACGCGCCTGTGATCCCAACTACTCGGGAGGCTGAGGCAAGAGAATCTCTTGAACCCAGGAGGCGGAGCTTGCAATGACCCAAGATGGTGGCCATTGCACTCCAGCCTGGGGGACAAGAGTAAGACTCTGTCTCAAAAAAATAAATAAATAAATAAATAAATAATCATGTCAACATAGAACATTAATGCTGTAATAAATATATTAATTTAAAATAATGAAATAGGCATAATTTCCTATTATTTTCATTTACACTGTTCTTGTTTATAGGTATAACGTATAACAAAAATGAAACTCTACATTAACCTAGAAAACTATTCCGCCTTTAAAGTATGCTTCTTCCCTAGTGTCTTTGGATTCCAATATTTTTCCCAATTTTTTTTTTTTTTTTTGCATGAGGAGATTCATTCTCATTCATTCTCTCTCTTTCTCTCTCTCTCTATCTCTTCCTCCCCCTCTCCCTCTCCCTCTTCCTCTCTATCACCTTAGTAACCTGGACTGCTCTTATTGGTTGCATTCTCCTTCGTGGCATTTAATAGCCATAGGAGCGAGTTTCTCTTTCCAGTGCAATTCCGATGGAGTTAGTTATGAGTCCAGAACTAGTAAGTCAAGTGTTCCAGGCATAAAACCAAGCATGAACTCCACTACTTTGTAGCTTTGGCAGGTAGTCTGATGCCTGAAACATAATAGGTATTCAATAAATGTGGAACTGAATACAAAAATTAGCCAGGTGTGGTGGCGAGCACCTGTAGTCCCAGCTACTGGGGAGGCTGAGCAGAGAATTGCGGAACCTGGGAAGGCAGAGATTTGCACTGAGCCCGAGACCATGCCACTGCACCTCAGCCTGGGCGACAGAGCGAGACTCGGTCTAAAAAAAAATGTTGAAACTGAGTAAAGGGAATCATAAGGTTCTAACAGCAACTTAAATCCCAGAGGAAGACGACCTGGTGAAGAAAACTCCAAAATTTCAGGAAAGATCTTGGAGACAAGTATAAATTATTAATTACGCCAAAGTTGATAGTCCTACAAAGCTCAGAAGCTTGGTTATGTAGTCTTGGAAGAAGATATGAATATTTTTCAGGCTGGGCTGGTGGGCTCACACCCTGTAAATCCCAGTCTGTTAGGAAAGGAGCCGAGGGGTAGAGCCACCAGGTCCAGAGTTCCGGAGACCAGCCTGGCCAATGCCATGTGAAACCCTGTCTCTACTGAAAAATACAGAAATGAGCCTGGGCATTGGTGGCCACGTTGTCTGTGGGTCTCAGCCCTACTCAAGGAGCGTGAAGGCCAAGGAGATTTGCCTTGAAAACTGGGAGGCGGAGGGGTGGCAGTGGAGCCCGAACAGGGCCACACTGCACCCCAGCCCTGGGAGACAGAGCAAGAACCTCATCGAAAGAACGGGAAAGAGAGAAAGAGAGAAAGAGGATGAAAGAGAAGAAAGAGAGAAAGAAGAAAGAAAAAGAAGAAAGAAAGAAAGAAAAAAAGAAAGAAAGGAAAGAAAAGAATCAAACAGGACAGAGGTTTGTTGAAGGCAAAAGTTACTGTCCTGTTAATAGAATCAACAGAAGGAAGAAAAAATGTCCAAGCTAGAGGAACCATTATGGAAATGGTAGGAAAAGGTGTTTTAACAGTTTATCCAAATAAGCAGCTGCTGGAATAAAAAGGCAAGCACTAGAATCCAAGAAAAGCCCTAAGGAACTGAATCAGTCCATTCTTTTCCAAAAGTATGGCCATAGTTGCAAGCAACAGGGGTGAATAAATTGTATCTGCTCTGGTCAATGGTGTTAAGTAGCATCCTTGCTCAGTATGAGAAACATCATGACGGAGGCCCTGGGTGCATGGCCTTCAATGCCTATAATCCTAACTTTGGGAAGGCCAAGGCAGGCCAAATCCACTTTTGAGCTCAAGAGTTCAAAACCCCACCCTGGGCAACAATGGGTGGAAACCCAAGCCTATAATAATAATAATATATAAACCAATAATCAATAATACAAAGGATTAGCTGGGTGGTGGTGGCATAGCCCCCTGTAGTACCAGCTACGGGGGGAGGCTGAGGTGGGAATGAAAAAAATGGGCCTTGAGCCTAGGGGGCAGGAGGGAAGTTGCTGTGAGCAAGACACACCACTGCCCACCTCCAGCCTGGGTGACAAGAGCCAGATCCTGTCTCCAAAAAATAATAATATATAATGAATTAAAAACCACCATCTGCTGAGATTCTCACCTCACTGAAAGACCAGTTAGATATTCATTCATGCTTAGGTGTAATATCCAGAGAGAACTTCAAACTCTCCCTTCTTCTCTGATATAAAACACTTTGTGAGGAAAACAGAGAATGAAAAAATAATGGAAGAAAAGCAAGAATCTAGATGTATGCCTCCACAACAAAGTTCATGAGAAGCATAAGGGGAGAGGGCTCATATAAAACCAAACTGAATTTTGGGAGGCTGTGCAGAAGAATCAATTGAGCCAGGAGCTATGACTGTACCACTGCACTCCAACCTGGACAACAGAGCAAGACTTTGTCTCTAAATAAAATAAAAAGTAAAACCAAACAGAAATATTTTGTTTATCTTTGTTTTCCTCAAATCTCTTAACCAGGATGCCCAGAATGGAAAGGGTTTATTTAATAAAAGGCCTTATTTGCCCTTGAGAACCAGCGTGCTACAGCTTTCACGTGTCTTTGAGTATAACGGAGGACACATTTAAAAATAAGAATCCAAATTATAATGGCTCTGAACCCCCACCTTGCAAATTATCAGAATATCAGCCCTCTCTTGAATTTCTTTTCCTCCTCTACTATGAGGGAGTCCCCAGGGGAGGTATCCCCCACATACGCCTGAAATAATTGAACAAAGCATTCATCAGTTTCTTTTTTTTTTTTTTTTTTTTTTTTTTTTTTTTTTTTTGAGACGGAGTCTCGCTCTGTCGCCCAGGCTGGAGTGCAGTGGCCAGATCTCAGCTCACTGCAAGCTCTGCCTCCCGGGTTCCCGCCATTCTCCTGCCTCAGCCTCCCGAGTAGCTGGGACCACAGGCGCCGCCACCTCGCCCGGCTAATTTTTTGTGTTTTTTTAGTAGAGACGGGGTTTCGTCGTGTTAGCCAGGATGGTCTCGATCTCCTGACCTTGTGATCCGCCCGTCTCGGCCTCCCAAAGTGCTGGGATTACAGGCTTGAGCCACCGCGCCCGGCCGCATTCATCAGTTTCATTCGTGTCTCTACTTCAGATATTCTTCAGTCCCTGCTGTTCTGGGACACTGGTCTCTCTCTTTAGCCAATGCAACCTTCACCATTGCTTTAGATTTTGGCAGGAAGAAGCACTGCCCTCTCTTCACCAGGACATGACAAACACAGGCCCTTCCCATCAAAGTTTTCCCCAACACAGCTAAGAACAGGTTGTAACTCCTAACAATATTTAGAAAAAAAAGAAAAATCCAAAGTGTAACTTGCAAGTATGATATAGCTACTCTCAAAGTCTCATGGACTATGGAATAGACACAGACCTGGCCTTACTGTCAGGCTTCCATTCCGGTTCATGTGGCTGAAGATAGTTTCACCTCTCCAGCAAGAGTTCCCCTGACTGTGTCTTAGGCATTTACTCCCAATCACTGTGAAGAAAACAACTCTCCTTACCCAGGTTAGGGTCCACTTTCCAAGTCCCATTTTCTGTCCCAGGTGCTATCTCTTCCTAGAATGACTAATCATGGAAATATCTACTTTTCTGGAGGAAACCCCACCCTGCATGCCCAAGGGTATGATCTTGACCTCTGATTCAACAGGGCCATCATTATCAGAACACAATAGTCAACATCAGCACATTTCTCACAAAGGTTGAATTATTCAGTCTTTACACATGGGTCAAGGTAAAGCCTTGTCAAAGCCAGTCCAGTCCCTGTGCATAATTATCTCTCCAGTAGAGCAGTGAAAATC